CACGCTATGTTGCTCCTGGGAGACACCGACCAGAGCACATGGCTGCAGCGAAGAGGGTGTTGCGCTACTTGTGCAGTACGTCGGGCATGGGACTAGTGCCTTGGAGGGCGGAGTCCAGTGGTCCTCACTGGACACGCAGGACGCTTCTTGGGCTGACGACCAGGCTACGCAGCGGTCGTCACAGGGTTACACCTTCAGCCTTGGTTCCGGCTCTGTTTCGTGGCGGGCTACTTGCTTGTCTTCTGTTCTCGGCTCCAGTTGTGAGGCTGAGATCTACGCAAGGGCCATGGCTGCTCAGGAGCTTCGCTGGCTCACCTACCTGCTGACCGACCTTGGAGAGCCGCCTCGTTCTCCTCCATGTCCTGTACGTAGACAACAAGGCCATGCTGGCCTTGTGTCGAGAGCAGAGACTGGAGCACATGAACAAAGCACATTGCTCTCCTGCTACTTCCTTGCTCGTGAGCTACAGCAGCGTGGTCAGTTGCGACTTGCGTACGTGGCCTCTGAGGCCAACACTGCTGATGTCTTCACCAAGGCACTTCCGCCTTGTGATCATCAGCGCTGCTGTACCCAGCTGGGTCTTGTGTCTGTCTTGCCTCACTTGCTCTCCTCTTGACCCTCTTTGTACTGTTACATATATATATAACTGCTCTTGCTTGTTTAGTCTTATATATATATATGTACTCCTGCATGTGAACTGGCCTTGTTGCCTTGCACTTGTGCTCGGATTGTGTGGTGACGTTGTGATCCACCCTGAGCTTGCTTTGCTTTGCTTTGCTTTACTTGACTGGTCTTGTGACCCCTAGTTCTCCCCCACTTCGCCTATGGGGGTGTGTCAAACATTATATATGTTGTTGTAGTTGTTTAGGCCACAGTGGGTTAGCCTATAGGGGGTACAGATTCCTAGGTTTTCATACTTGTACCCATTTCACTGTTAGTTCATCCATTTCTTGTTCAACACTTTCCTCCCGAGCCGCGCTCATTCTCCCTAGCATAAATATCTCTCTCTAGCTTTTCTTGTATCATCATTGGATCGTCTCTAATTCTATATTCTTGGAATCTCTCTTCCTATCTTCTCTCATCTACGTCTCCAGAGCTGGGCGTCTCTCTCCAGCCTAGCTTTCTTCCGCTGCGACTACTTCATTCTCCTTCTTTATTCTTCTAGCTACGGCGCCACCTTCGCCATGGCACGCTCGGCCAACCTCGCCTAGCATGGCTGCGCGCCGTAGCCTTGTTTCAGTGACGATCCGTGCGACAAAATGCACGAGCGTATGTGTCGCTTACTTTGCTGACGGCTTGCTTCGCTTGTTTCTTTTTCGTTATCGCTTATATGCTATCTATGTGAGAGTAGTAGGTAGAGTTAGGAGCCATAGCTAGGTAAGTCCTAGGTAGGTAAGTGAAAGTTTAGGCAAAAGAGGGTTTTCACTAGCAGCAATGAGGATACATATAGCAAACCCTAGATGGGTTGTACTCGCTATAGAGCACCCCACTATAGGCTAGAGAATAACATTCTGACACACCCCCATAGCCAAGTGGGGTGTAATCAGTACAATGAGCAAGCAGGTATAGAGCAGGAGTTCACAAAGGTAAGCAAAGCTAGAGCTAATCACAGAGGGCAAGTGAGGAGGAGGAGAGACTGTGGAGGAGAGAAGATGGGAGGCGACTGCTGAAGCTGCAGACACACAGACGAGCTGCTGGCTCAGTGGCTACCGAAGCAAAGGCCCGGACTACAGGAGTAACTGGCTCCGCGGAGATTGCAGCCTCCAGACCGGAGCAACTGACCCACAGGCGACTGGCGACTACCGGAGATTGTAGCCTCCGGACTGCTGGTGCTGCTGGCGACACGACTGCTGCCTCCACTCAACCTCCCCCAACTGCCCAACGCCCCTCTCACACACCCCCTGCTCAAACCCTAGCTCCACTCCCACAGCACCCCCCTAGCACCACTCCTTCGGCTCCCACACACCCACCCCCCTCAGCGGCAGCTGCAGTAGTGGGAGACGGAGGAGGAGGAGGAGCAGGTGACGGCTCACACACCCGCCACCCCCATACCCGTCACCCCCACACCCTGAGTGTGCGGTAAGCGAGCTCAGGTGTGCCCGAATCGTGCACAAGTGTGCGGGAAGCGAACTCAGGTGTGCGGTAAGCAAACTCAGGTGCGCCGGGGAGGGGGGGGGGGCCGCAGGGCGACGCGTGGGTCGACGGGGACGAGCGCACGGGTCCCCAGGGGCGGCGCGCGGGTCGACGGGGCCGCCGCGAAGGGCGACGGGGATCTGCGCGCGGGTTGACGGGGCCGCCGCGAAGGGCGACGGGGAGCCGCGGGCGGGTCGACGGGGCCGCCGCGAAGGGCGACGGGGAGCCGCGCGAAGGTCGACGGGGACGGGCGCGCGGGTCGACGGAAACCGCCACGCGTCCCGAGCTCATGGCGGGCAGAAAACCGCCACGCGCCACGAGTGCACGGCGGGATGAAAAAAGTGTCGCGCGCCCGGGGCGCGCGACCAGCAGAACAGTAGCAGCGGAAGCAGTAGGCGGGCCCACAGGCCAAGAGCGTAACAGCTCCGATTCCATGTGAGAGTAGTAGGTAGAGTTAGGAGCCATAGCTAGGTAAGTCCTAGGTAGGCAAGTGAAAGTTTAGGCAAAAGAGGGTTTTCACTAGCAGCAATGAGGATACATATAGCAAACCCTAGATGGGTTGTACTCGCTATAGAGCATCCCACTACAGGCTAGAGAATAACATTCTGACAATCTATGGTGTGCAGATTTCCATGAACGCAATAAAAACATTTGTGCACATGCTCTGTTAAACCGTAACCGTAATGCCCCACGCCACGTGGCATATTCGTCGCACCACAGTGAACCGCCACGTGTGCTGCCCTGATCTGCACTCTGATTGGCGTGCAGGGCGTGGAGTATGCTACCACGTGTACCCGTTACGGTTACACCTAAGTTGTGCCTATAGACAAAACCATCTCGGTATTGTCACACTGCATACAACAGATTATTGGTGAGTTGTTTTGTTTCCGGAAGTTTTTCTTAGCAACAGAGAAAGTGTAGGTCCCTAATATCGTAAACCTGCAAAACCTGTAGGGCGGACGAGGAATGTCTGAACATTCCTCCAACAAACCCTAGAGATTGCTCGGTAGGCACGCCAGATGATTGTCTGAGCATTCCCGCCCCTTGCCCAGGCAATCCGCATAATAATGGTAAAGGTATGTTCCCTTGGGACGAGGGGGAGGTCGAGGCTTGAGCACGGCACAGGGGGAACAGTTGCTGGCATTTCCTTAACAGTTGAGGCGGGGGGATGATAATGAGAGCGATGGGAGAGACATGAGAGCTTCCGCAAGGAGACACTATTCGAGATTTCTCAATTACACTTCAAAAGAAGAGTGAGGATGTGGAGAGGGGAGGACGGGGGCTCGCAGCGAGCGCGTCGCGAGGCGACTCACGATCGGACGGCTGAATTGTGACGTCGGAGGCTTGAGGCAGAACCGCCGCAGCCACCGCCGCAGCTGCCGCGGGGAGAGGAGCGCCGAGAGCAGCGGAAACTAAAGCAACGGCGATGGTAAGAGCGATCATGGCGTCGCCGAATTTCTCCTTACTAAAATTCCCCAGCTCGGAAAACAATAGGCCCCTCGTTTTCTATTGCAGCGTGCGCAAAATTCCCTTTGAAATAAGAGGCTCAGGGTTGAAAATTTTGCGGTTTCGAAGCCACAACTCTTGGCGGGGTGCAACTTCTTAGGAACAGTAGGGGGACAAAAATGGCATGTAAGTAACTTGAATTCTATTGGACGAAAAAACTGGAAAACCAGAAGAGGACAATCTTCTCGGCTCTGAACTGCCTGGGTCAACCTCTTCCAAGCTATAATACTTTGAAGTTGAAGTTAATAGTTGGGCCACGGCTTTAAAAATGTTAGGGAGCGCCTCGCGGTAATTGTCAGGTAGAGCTGACTCGTTCTGTGCAATCAATAACGGAAGGGAAAAATCAAAGTGGTGCGAATTAGGGCGACGGTGCTCGCGGTTGCTGCGCGGTACGTTCGTCCCTATGGCACTGCGTCGCTCTGTGCTTGAAGCGTTTTGCGCGCTGCAGTGTGGTAGCACCGCCCTCCGTGTCTCACGGAGTGGTGTGTGTGATGTGAGGCTTTTTGGGTGAAATCGCCCTGTGCTGCCTTTTTCAACACAGAACAGTGTACAGGCTGCAACCGTAGTGAACCGTACAAGTCTCAAGGGCTGCAAACATCAAATCCCCTTGGTGCGATGTTTCGACTCGCGTTGCATTGTGTCGCGGTGCGGCCAAAGCACTACATTCCACGGCTTCGCAGCGAACATGTGTGGCATGGAATGCTCTGATTGGGTGGGAAGTGCAGAGGGTAACCGGTCGCCGCCGTCGACATTTTTATTTCCCGACGCAATGGGGGCTCGCCAGAGGCAGCGAGCTTCGCGAGCTCCTTTTCTGCTGCGACGTTCGCAAAAGCCCATTCCACAATTATTGTCTGAGGTTGTAGTTGCCATCAACACAGGCAAACTGGATGTGGAATTATTGCTGATTATTGCTGATTTGACAATTATTGCCCACACTCAGCGCTCAGGGTTTCAGGAAGCTTGTTAAGTGGACACATCTGTAAGGAGTTTGAGTTTGTGCATGCTATGCAGCTTGGGTACTGTCTCCCTGCAGAAGCATTATGCCAATGCGTCTGGGCTAACTTTGTCTTGCAATAAGGGCGAACTCATGTTGCACTACTTCTGTACGCTCATTGTGGTCAAATAAGTTTCGTCACGGGGCAAAGCGGTGTAAACCTTGAAAACAAATTCCACTGAGTGGAACCGTCCTCACCCAGGATACACCAACTGCAAATGTGCGAGAAATGTACAACCTCATGTCGCCATGAAGGCAAAAAAGAACGAACCTACTTGCCTAACAATATTCCACTCCACACAACAAAAGCTTGGCTAGTTGATCAAAACCAAACAAGACACCCTCCATTCGGTCATCCTAACGATATCTATTTGCTAACAGCAACATTTTCCTTCAAATACTGTACCACCTCCGCCGCGCTCTCATACCCACCCTCCACGCACCGACCAAGCGCGACACCCGCCACATAATTCCCTCCCAGGAACACGCCCTCAAGCCCCGCCGCCTTAATTTCCTCGCGCGCCTTTGCCAGATTGTCCAGGTGGCCCACGTTGAACTGGGGAATGGCACGCGGCCACACGCGCACGCCGTGCGTTTGGGGCGCTGCTCCATCGGGCTTGATGAGCATCTTGCGCACATCGATGTCCACCTGCTTCACTATCTCCTCCTCGCTCTGGCAGGTTGGGAACATGAGAGGACGAGGGAATGAGAGGGGACAAGAAGCGGCTTGATGAGCACCTTCCACACGTCGATGACCACCTGCTTTACTATCTCCTCCTTGCTCTAACAGGTTGGGATGGGAGAGGAAAGGGAAGAGACGGGAGTGTCACATGCGTCCCCAATGTAGCACAGCAGCAGCACTCCCATAAAAACAAGCACGAGCATGTCACAGCATGGATATGTTTAAAGCCCCACCACCACCACCAGCACTCACCATGGTGGCGATCTTGGTGTTGCACGCGCCGCCAATGTAGCACAGCAGCAGCACACGGCCATCCGGGGCGCGGTTGGGGAAGAGAACAGAGCTGTAGATGGTGCCTGTGAGGGCGGGGAGAGGGGATAGAGCGAGGGAGGGAAGGAACATCGAGCACAGTTGGGGAAGGAAACAGAGCTGCAGATGGTGCCTGGAGGGGTGAAAGGAGAGGTGGGGGGCGATAGAGGAGGGAGGGAGGAGACGGCGACAGCAAGGAGCAAGGAGCACGGAGCATGGTTGGGCATGAGCAGAGCAGGGTGGGAGAAGGGCAGGTGATGGTGCCTGGGAGGTGTGTGATACGTCGATTTTTGAGTCGACTCAAAAATCGACTTATCACATTGGGCACGAGCAGGGTGGGAGAAGAGCAGGTGATGGTGCCTGGGAGGTGCAGCCAGGGCGACAGATGACAAAAGACACAGCCCTTCCCACCCATCCCGCCCACCCCTCTCTGTCTCTGCCACCCACTGCCGTACCCAGAGTGACGATCCCTTGCATCCGCGGGTGCAGCTGTCCAAAGCCCTTGAGCTCACCGACCGCCAGGTATGCGATCAAGTCCTGAATTCATCTCTCTCTCTCTCTCTCTCTCTCTCTCTCTCTCTCTCTCTCTCTCTCTCTCTCTCTCTCTCTCTCTCTCTCTCTCTCTCTCTCTCTCTCTCTCTCTCAGTCCCCCACATCCTTTACCCATCCCTCGCATCAACTGCCGTACCCAGAGTGACGATCCCCTGGGTGCGCGGGTGCAGCTGCCCAAAGCCCTTTAGCTCGCCGCCCACCAGCCTGTCCTCCCGGATGGCCTCCTTGGGGTACGAGATGGTCACTGCTGCCACGGGTGGGTAGTAGAAGGACGAGAGGGCGGCTGCTGCTGCTGCCTGTGGAAGGGAAGATGAGGGACGGGGATGGGGGGATGGGGGGATGGGGATGAGATGATATGAGGGGACGGGGATGGAGATGGGGAGAGGAGGACGGAGATGGGGGGAGGGGGATAGAGATGGTGGGAGGGGGATGGAGATGAGGGGAAGGGGATAGAGATAGGAAAGGGGGATGGAGATCAGGGGAAGGGGTTAGAGATAGGGAAGGGGGATGGAGATGAGGGGAGAGGGATGGAGATGGGGGGATAAATTCGATTGGCCTTGAGACTAGATGGAATAAAGATGAGCAAGAAAGGACGCACACTGAAACAAGTTTGCAGCAGGTAGAATAGAATGCTTACTGAGTATGGCTTGAGCAGGTCAGCAGCAACATAGGAGGGCACGGTGAGCAGCAGGGAGCGCGCTGAGAGCTTCTTGGCGCCCTCGGGAGTGTCGTAGGACAGCAGGAAGCCACTGCCACCTGGCTGCTTCTCTATGGCTGTCAGCTTCCACCCGAGCCTCACTCGGTCGCCGAGCCTGGAGGGCAGGTTCGGAGGGGTTGTTTGGTGGAGAGGAGTGAGACGTGCATTCCGTGTGCAGTGATGTGGTGTGGTGTGGCATGTCATGGCATGGTATAAAATCATGGCACAACATGGCAACACATGGCATGGCATGGCGTCGAGTGGCATGGCATGAGATGGCATGGCATGGCACAACATGACATGGCACACCAAGGCATGGCACCACATCGCATGTCACAATATGGTATGGCACAGCATGGCACCACATGGCATGGCACCACATGGGATGGCACTACGTGGTATGTCACCACGCCACCACATCACCATACTTGTTGGCAATGCCGGTGGGGAGGGTGATGAGTCCCTTTTGGAACGACCCCACTGTCTGCCCCTTGGGCTTCGGCAGGCGCCTGCAAACACACGTGGTGACAAGCGGTTTGAACAGGTGAGAAGGAGAGAGCAGGGGTGGAAAGGGATGCAAAGGGATAGATGACTTAGAATGGGATAACGGTAACTGCATTGGGAATAATGAGATAAGCATCTGTACGGATACAAAGCAACCGCAGCACACTAACGGGTCACAGGGAGGGGGAAAGATGGCCTGCCTTCTTTAATCAGATTCAGTGAGCAGCCAAAAACAAACCACCCTCAGCTGCTGCTAGCATCAGCAAACATGGGCTCACCACGCTACTGTGATACCATGCATTCACCACGCTACTGTGATACCATGCATTTACCACGCTACTGTGATACCATGCATTTACCACGCTACTGTGATACCATGCATTTACCACGCTACTGTGATACCATGCATTTACCACGCTACTGTGATACCATGCATTTACCACGCTACTGTGATACCATGCATTTACCACGCTACTGTGATACCATGCATTTACCACGCTACTGTGATACCATGCATTTACCACGCTACTGTGATACCATGCATTTACCACGCTACTGTGATACCATGCATTTACCACGCTACTGTGATACCATGCATTCACCACGCTACTGTGATACCATGCATTTACCACGCTACTGTGATACCATGCATTCACCACGCTACTGTGATACCATGCATTTACCACGCTACTGTGATACCATGCATTTACCACACGTACAGGTCATGGGGAGGAGGCGGGTTGGACTGTTTTTCCTTGATGAGCTTCATGGAGCCGCCAAAGATGGACCCTCCTAGCTGTTCCTAGCACCTCCATTCATGAACTTGCACGTTACTGCGCTTACTGTGTTACCACGTTACAGCAGCCTACGGGCTATCAAGCATCACGTACGGGTCACGGGGAGGAGGGGGATTGGCCTGCTTCTCCTTGATGAGCTTCATGGAGCCGCCAAAGATGGACCCTCCCAGCTGCTCCAGACGCCACACCTTCCCAAACGCAGCCTTCATGCTCAGCTTCGATGGGTCTCCCGCGTACACACCTGCAGGGAGAGAGAGGGGGGAAGGGGGAGGGAGGAATAGAGGGGAGGAGAGGGGGAGCAAGGGTGGGAAATGAGGGGAGGGAGAAAGCTGCTCCAGACGCCACACCTTGCCGAACGCGGCCTTCATGCTCAGCTTCGATGGGTCTCCCGCGTACACACCTGCAGGGAGGAGCGTGGGACGGGTTGGGAACGGTGTCTGGAGGTGAGGGAAGAGAGGAAGGAAGAGAAGAGCAGCCATCGCATGTGCAGGTGACTTTTGAGTCGACTCAGAAGAGAAGGGCAGCCATCGCATGTGCTCCAGCCAGCCACTACACATTGCCTAATGCTGCTGCCTCTCGGCCACATGCCTCTTCTCGCTGCCACCCACCCACCCACCCACCCACCCACCGGAGCAGAAGGGCTCGATGAGGCGTTCGAACACCTCGGCACCCAGATTGCGACGGACAAACTCCTCCACACTCTCCTCCTTGCCCTGCTCTCCACATGCCATGCCGTGTCATGCCATGAGACGCCACACACCATGCCACGCCATGCCATGCCACGCCATGCCATGCCACGCCATGCCGTGCCACGCCACGCCATGTCAGCGGCGTGGGGGAGGACGGAAGGGGTGGGCAAGAGGAGGGAAGGGGTGGGCAGGAGGAGGGAAGGGGTGGGCATGAGGAGGGAAGGGGTGGGCATGAGGAGGGAAGGGGTGGGCATGAGGAGGGAAGGGATGGGCATGAGGAGGGAAGGGATGGGCAGGAGGAGGGAAAGGGTGGGCAGGAAGAAGGAATGGATGGGCATGAGCGAAAAGGGACAACCCTTGGACGAGGCCACGTTACACTGGTACTGTGTCATCGCGGACAGGGTAAGACGGCAACATACACCCCACCCACCCACCCACTGCCACAACCAGCCCTTGTGCCATGATGCCATCGGCCACAACCAGCCCTTGTGCCATGATGCCATCGGCCACATCATTTCTCACGCACTGACCTCGGGAGCGGCGGGACGCAGACCGAAAGCACCCAGCCCCGCGCGGATCTTGCCAATGATGGACATGAGGTCAAAGACTGGCAGGTCCAGCAGGCCGGCAGGTACCGGGCGCAGACGCCCCTCCCAGAAGACGAAGCGGGGCGCGTCGGGGTCTCCGAGCACCAGCTGGTCGATCACCCCGCTGTCCAGCTGTAATGGGTTGGTTGGTTGGTTGGGGATGGCAGAGAAAGGCAGAGGAAGACAGGGGAAAGCAGGGAACTGCAGGTGGCAGGGAATGGCAGGTGGGCGAGAGAGAGTAATCAATTCTTGTATTTTCTGGCAGCAAGAGCTGCATATCCTCGTCAGCAGCCGTCGCGGCAACCCTGTGTAGGGACGTCACCCGTTCAGCATTCGATAGACTTTACCGCAATAATGCCAGCAAGGCCAAGCCCTCCTACTTATCGAATCGGGAGAATACTTGCGGTTGGCGACTCTGCCGCGAGCAAGGCCCGAACTACTAGCACGAGTGCATCCACTTTCGAGGCCCCTCAAAAACCAATAGCGCAAATGCATCCACGTTCTATGGCGAATTTGCGAAAGGCGAATTTGTATAGTGCCGTGAAAACAATAATAAGGACAAAAACAATGTTAACTTGTTCAAAACGTTATCTGGTCACACAGACACCACAAAAACTCCTATCTGGCTTGCGAAAAATCATTTTCGTTTCCAGCGCAGACTTGCGATTCTCTTGGAGAAATTGAAATCCCCGCATATCTCCAATCCAAGCTGTAAATTCAAGACCTTGCGACACATCGCCGACTACAATAACACGTACCGCGCATCTGAGCGCAGAATCGCTGGGCTGGACTCTGTTGGTCCTATCAGACCGCTATTCTTTAATACGCGGATGGCATTCTTCGACTTACCGCACATTTGAGCATGGCGTCGTTGGGCTGGAAGCTGTTAAGGCCCTCCTCCCATAGATACCCTTGTTCGCCGTCCCACCTCGCTTGGATTCAAGCAAAAAAACATTTCTTTTTTCTGCTTTGTAGCGTGGATGGCATCCTATATCACCTACCGCGCATTTGAGCATGGCGTCGTTGGGTTGGAAGCTGTTAGGGCCCTCCTCCCACAGATACCCCTCGTTCGCCGTCCCCGCCTCGCCGACCACCGTCGTGATGTTGCCACCCACGCGGTCGCGCGCCTCCGTTACAATCACCTTCGATACAGTGTCCGCGTGATCAGTGGTTAGAGCGAGCCCCGTGCACAGGCCCGACACGCCAGCGCCGACGATAACGACGTCAGCTTCCTCTACTGCGACTGATGCGCTAACGGCTGCGACGACGTGCGACAGTGAGCGATTGAATTGGCTCGCGTGCGACTGCCGGCGAGAGATCTGCGATCGGAGGATCACACGATCGGGAATTCGGCTGCCGCTGAGCAGGCGACTCGAGAGGTTTGCTTGAGAGAGGGCGACACGTTGACTGACTGCTGACGTGGCGTCACGACGGGTCGCAGGAATGAAATCTGCGCGTGCGACCGACGTCGCACGTGAGGTGCTCATGGTCAGAGCTTGCGCCATGGCGGCGACAGATGGCTAATTCCGACCTTGACGGCAAAAACGGAAACTTGAGATGACTCAACCTGATCGCCGACACAGCAGTCTCGCGCCTCTATATACCTCGCTTTCACCTGGAGGCGAAGTTATTAGTTCAGCTTTCTACTACTGCTCCAAGCTTTGGTTCCAAACCATTGCCATCGCAGTCAGTCACATACGTCAGCTTGCTTACGTGTGAGAGATGTATGTGTCTGACGGCAATGGCAATGGCGCGGAGGAGGTAGCAGCGCAAGGGGGTGTTGCGCGCATTCGTTATTACTTAGAAACAACCATGGGTTTTGTTGGGTGAATTGTGTTTCAGAACGGTAGAATACTAGACCGCTGTTGTGAACTATCGCGTACGAGTTCCCGCATCTCCACATTGCGCGGCGCGCGGAGCTGGATGTGTGCAGAGCGGAGCGGAGGTGCTGCTGCTAGCTGCACCCCTAGCCCCGAAGCTTCAGTGCTCCACCTGGCAAATCGCGGAAATGTTTGCTCTGCGTTCCGGTTGGCTGTGTGACTGGATAGCGAACATTCCCTGACACGTGGCACCAGAAGATTGTCAGCGCAATCTAGATTTTGGGAACTCCGCTAAAATTAGCCGATTGCCACACCTCCTGAAATGTAAGGAAACTCAACCCACCTCATGTAACATTCACCCAATATAAAGAGTGTTTCTGCACAAGAAAAAAGTGATTTCCTCAAATAGCCGAATCTGTTAAAATAGCAATGGCACATCCATCAGCAACACATCCTCATCATGTTTTAAGCACCACCTTGTGCACCATCGCCTCCTTGTGAATGTGATGGCAGCTCGTCTCCACAAGGTCAAGGAGCTTCGCAATGTCGCTCGCCCATTTATCCAACAGCTGCACTCCGCTCTCCTGCCTCTCGCCAAACGTGACAATCCCTGCCGGCCGGTCAATCTTAGCCACCAACACCTTCTCCACCACCATATCTGATAAAAACTTCTCCGCCTCCTGTTAGGGGAAGTACATGAAAGCGGATGATAGAGAGGCAAATTAGTGAGCGCAGGCAGATGCGTTGAAGCGTGCATTAGAACTGTCCGAACTGTGCATAAGATTGACGAGAAAGGAATAAAACACTCAACACAAAGGCCGGGAGCAGCAGCCATGATGTTGTGCCTCAGTATCATCCAGTTCTCTTGCCTTGCATTTAAACCACACCACGATACAAGCACGCTTCAAGTGACGCAGAATACACACTGAGAAACGAGGCAGAGGAGCTGGGCAAGCAGTGCAGATCTGAGTCGCTGGTGAGAATTTTCACTAGTGAACCGGGTTAAGGTTGAGGTGATGGGATAACGCACCAGGACAGTCAGGGAGAGCAGCTGGGCAAGCCGTGCCATGGTGATGCGCACATAATACTTGGACACCACCAGGATGTTCTGCGAGGGAAAACACATGCGGAGGAAAGAAAAGAAAAGGTGGTCCTGATGCGCACATAGTACTTGGACACCACCAGGATGTTCTGAGAGGGTAAATACATGTGGAGGAATATACGGCAAACAACGGAAGCAGGAGGGTGAAAGACTAGGCAATGGTGATGCGCACATAATACCTGGACACGACCAGGATGTTCTGAGTGAGACAAGGATGGGGGGGAAGGGGAGGGGAGGGGGTATGACATGGTGATGCCCACGCATTACCTGGACACGACCAGGATGTTCCGAGGGGACAGGGGATGGGGGGATGGGGGGATGGGGGATACATGGGGAGACGGAAGTCAAGGCAGTGGTGACGCGCTCATAGTACTTGGACACCACCAGGATGTTCGGTAAGGATATGAGCATGGGGAGGAATATGGGGGCATAGAAAGGATGCAGAACATATGGGAGTGAGTGAATATGGGAGTGAGTGAATATGGGGGAAACGGATGACAAGGCGATGGTGATGCGCACATATACGTGGTAAGGGAAAAATAAAAATATAAAAAAATGGAGAACGAGACGCGGGTAAAAGCAGCCAAAGATTGCATCAGTGCTGGATGACGCGGCAGGCCTCCACCTCACGCGCGGAGCACTTTTGAGGCGCCTCAAAAGTCGGAGCGCTTGAGCAAGACACACGTGCGCAGGACAGTGCTACGTTGTGGACCCAACGTTCGTGCTGAATGTACTTTTGAGACATCTCAAAAGTCAAAACACACACGTACTTTTGAGGCGCCTCAAAAGTCAAGAAACACGTGCCACGGACAGTGCTAAGCTATGGACTGCAACGTACGTGCTGAATGAATGTACACAGACGCGCAGGTCCTTGAGGAGCGACTTGGAGGAACGGATGGGGAGTGCACATGAACCATACAGGCGAGGGACAGCAACACAATCATGCTGCTCAATTACGAGCAAGCGCAGGTCCTTCACTTGAGGGCCTCAAGCACGGAGCGGAGTCCTTGAGGACGACAGACGAATGGATGGAGGGAGCACAGGGCTACGGCATGCAACAAGCTGCTTTTGAGAATTCTCAAAATGCAACAAGTTGCACCAAGTCGAAGTGGGCATTTCATATGTGCTGAATGACGTGCAGGCGCAGGTCTTTGAGCGCTGATGCGTTGAGGAAGACACATGAATGGACGGATAATGGGAACCCAGGGCCATGAATGGACGGATAATGGGAACCTAGGGCCATGAATGGACGGATAATGGGAACCCAGGGCCATGAATGGACGGATAATGGGAACCCAGGGCCATGAACTGTAACGTACGTGCTGCTGGATGACATGACACGCAGGCGCAGGTCGTGACGAGTGCAGTCATCAAGGCATGCAGATGAATCAAATGGATGGACGGGGAGTGCGCATGAACCAGAGAGGCGAGGGAGGGCAACACGTACATGCTGAATGACGCGCAGGCGCAGGTCCTCGAGAGCCGAGTCCTTGAGGAAGACGATGGGATGGATGGAGAGAGCACAGGGCTATGGGGTGTAACGTACGTGCTGGATGACGCGCAGGCGCAGGTCCTCGAGAGCAGAGTCCTTGAGGAAGACGGTGGGCTTCTCCTCCTGCATCTCCGCACTGTAATCCGCCTGCAGCTGCGGCCACCCCACCACCTCCATCGTTATAAACAGCTTCAGTAGCGCTCTGTGAAGGAGAGGGGAGGGAGTGGAGGAAGGAGTGAGAAAGCAAGTTGAAAGGAGGCTCGTAGGTAGCGTCTCTGCCTGCCTGCAGCTGCGGGAAAAAAGAAGAGTTTTGAGACGTCTCAAAACGCCTGCCTGCAGCTGCGGCCGGCCACCCCACCGTCTCCGTCGTTATGCACAGCTTCAGCAGGACGCTGTGAGAAAGGGTGAATAAGGGGAGGGAAGAGGGGAAAGGGAGGGAGTGTGTGCGTGCTGCAGTGCGGGCCTAGGAGACAGCGGTGCAGAGCGGTGAGAGCTGGTGAAATGCGCTTAAGAGATGTTTGAGAGCAGTTGAGAGTGGTAATACGAGAATGCGAGTTACCGGAACTTGGGAAGGTCGAAGAAGGTGAGGAGGTGGAGTGGAGGTAAGACGACTGTATGCTTCTGTGCAGAGTGGTGGGAGTAGGAAAAAATGCTCAAGTGTAACTGAGAGAGGTGAGGAGGATTACCGGAACTTGGGGAGGTCGAGGAGGTGAGGGTCAGCGAAGGTGGAGTGGAGAAGAGACGACTGCATGCTGCCGTGTGGTGCCAGCACGAGATACCAGCAGATCCGCTTCAGCACCTGTGGAGAAACACATGCAGCATGTGAGGTGGACGTGGGGAGAGAATGTGAGTTGCGCACGAGTAGAGGGCATGGAAGTGGGAGCATTGACAGCGCCAGATAACAGCATGCAGCAACGCACACATGGAGCAGGCAAGCACAAATGCCATGCCACAAAGAAGTAGGCAAGCACTCAATACAACCACCAGCACTCACCACAACCAGCAGCACTCACCACAGGCATCAGCACTCCTGGTCGGCCTTGACTGCCAATGTGTTAGTAAATGTTCTGGTAGCAGCACAGCAGCAGGCAAGCACTCATCACAACCACAGGCGCCAGGCAAGCACTCACCGGGATCCAGCGCTCCTGGTCGGCCTTGACAGCCGGCGTGTCGTAAATGTTCTGGTAGCACCGGCAGATCTCCAGATAGTCGTTTGTGTTTGTGTAGTAGCTGCGACGAGGGGGAGGGGGAGATGGAGGAACCAAGGTGCGGGAATGATTGAGAGCCGTATGCAACCACTGATGTTCTGGTAGCACCGGCAAATCTCCAGATAGTCGTTTGCGTTTGTGTGGTAGCTGATGTGCGGGAGAAGGGGAGATCAAGGAAAGGGGAGTGGGGAGGGGGGAATGGAGGAAAGGGGAGTGGGGGATTGAGAGGCCTAAACAGTCAAACATGTTTCAATAGCAGCAGCAGGTCTCCCGGCCTCAGCAGCAAATATGAGAAGAGTCACTGGTTGCTGCAGCGACCCGCCGCACAGAACCGCACAGCACCTCACCGAATCATGAGCTCGTAGAATTTCAGCTTCAGCTTCACCAGCGTTGGCAGATCAGGGGCAGCCGGCTGAATCTCCCCCTCCTCCTTGGGCCGCTTCCGCTTCCTCTTCGTCCTCTTACTCCCAGCATCATCACCTGGTTGCACCTCACCCACCCACATACTCTCAAACCATACACAACCGCACCTCACCGCACAGAACCACACACCACCGCACAGCACCTCACCTGATCATGAGCTCGTAGAACTTGAGCTTCAGCTCCACAGCGTGGGCACGTCAGGGGCAGCCGGCTGGATCTTCCCCTCCTCCTTGGGGCCTTCACACCTCACTTGTCCACGCGCTATCAACCTGTACCTGACCGGATGTCACCTCACACTACCACACAGAACCGCACAGCACTGCACAGAACCGGACAACACCGCACTGAACCTCACCGAATCATGAGCTCATAAAACTTCAACTTCAGCTCCACCAGCGTGGGCACATCAGGGGCAGCCGGCTGGATCTCCCCCTCCTCCTTGGGGCCCTTCCGCTTCTTCTTCCCCTCATCCATCCCCTCGCCACCCGCTGCCGCTGCAGCCTCTGCCGCCTTGGCCTTCTCAGCTGCCTCCACGGTCTCTGAGGCGAATGCACGCGGGCTGATCTTCTTTGCGAGGATCTGTGCTCTCATGAAGTCGTCAGAGTCGAGACACAGGCGGACCTGTTGTAGGGGAAAAAGGGTGGGAGGGAGGGTGTGCATGAGCCTCCATGGACTCTACGGCGAATGCACACGGGCTGATATTCTTTGCGAGAATCTGTGCTCACATGAAGTCACCTGAATCCAGACACAGGCGGACCCGAAGCAGGGGAGAAAGGGTGGGAATAGGGGGGATGTGTTCGGTCGAGGGGAGGGAGGGAGAAGAGTCTGTGAGTGGTTCCTAAATCCCTGATAAAATTTGATTGAATATTCTCCTGTATTTTCTAAGAAAACTCAGCGCTCACCTGCTCCAGAATAAAGTCAATCTTCTCTGTTTTTGCCATGGCTCCGAAAGTCTCCACCTGGCGGTAAAGCGAATCACAGCGGGATGGAAAGGAGTGAAGAGGAGTGGAGAGGAGTGAGCGGAAGTGACTAGAGGAGGAAGCATGGGAGGAGGTGTGATGGCACAACAGGAGTGCGATGGTTAGCGCAGGGAGGGGTGCACTCAGCAGAGAAAGGGCGGGTCAGAGCACTCACCACCACCTCCTGCAAGATCCCCTGCCGTCTCCTTCACCGTGCCCTCTTGCATGAAAGGGTAAACGCGGCTCTAACAGCACATTCACATCAAGAGCAGGACAGTGCAGGAGAGCACTCACCGCCACCTCCTGCAAGATCCCTGCCGCCTCCTTCACCGTGCCCTCCGCCTCTTTCATACGCACCAGGCAAGAGGACAATGGCATGGGGCAGGCACTCTCAGCACACCCACATCAAGAGCAGGACGGAGGGCAGGGAGAGCACTCACCGCCACCTCCTGCATGATCTCTGCGGCCTCCTTCACCTTGCCCTCCGCCTCCTTCATGCGCGCCAGGCGCTTCACCAGGCGCGCCCTCTCTATCTCCACATAGATCTGATGGGGGGGGTGTGGGGGTTGGAGAGGAGAGAGTATGCAGAGGCGGGAGAGGGAGATGGAGAGGCAGGCAGGTGAGTGAGCGGACGGATACAGCAGCTCATGGGAGGAGCTGCTGTGCCAAGCGCTTCACCAGGCGCTTCACCAGGCGCTTCACCAGGCGCTTCACCAGGCGCTTCACCAGGCGCTTCACCAGGCGCTTCACCAGGCGCTTCACCAGGCGCTTCACCAGGCGCTTCACCAGGCACGCCCTCTCTATCTCCACGTAGATCCGCAGAGAAGAGGGGGGGAGGGGGGAGGGGGGGGGTAGAGGATGGGTGATGGTGCGGACGAACAACTGCTGCATAAACTGCCTCGGCGCTTCACCAGGCGCGCGCTCTCTATCTCCACCTAGGTGTGAGTGGGGGGTGAGAAGAGGGAGGGTGGAGTGGATGGAAGCGCAGCGAGGTGAGTGGGTGGAGTGGAGCCAGCCGCCAACAATCACGGATGCCAGCTTGCGCCATGGGCAGAGCGATGGACAATTGCTGCAGACCATGCTTCTCCCCCTCCCCCTCCCCCCCCACCCCCCAGAAGAGCACCGTGCTCTCTCCCTCTTCCCCCATCCCTCTCCCTTCCCCCAAGCGCACCTAGCCCCCAAAGGCGCACATAGCCCCCAGAAGTGCACCTTGGCCCCCTCTCCCCTTCACTCCCCCCCTCCCTCCCCTCCAGCGGCGAACCTCCCCCCCCCCCCCCCCCCCTTCCCCCAGAGCCGCACCTTGGCCCCTCCCCACCTCGCCCACCTCCCCCCCCGAACCGCACCTCGCCCACCTCCCCCCAGAACCGCACCTTGCCGGCTGTAACCCCGCTGAGCGTCTTGATGAGCTCCTCGCGGATGACGTCATCAGGTGCGTCATCCACGTACTTCATGGCCTCCTGCACCATCGCTGCCACGACCTGGGGTAAGGGAGACGGGGGCATGGGACCATGAGGGATTGGAGATGGGGCATGCAGGCTACAGCACAGGGGCATGAGCATGGGATCATGGAAACATGGGCATTGGGCACATGGGGTGATGAGGTGCGTCATCCATCCACGCACTTCATGGCCTCCTGCACCATCGTTGCCACCACCTGGGGTGGTGGTATGGGAAGCACGGGAAAGTGGGGATTTAGGCATCAGAGGGCATGGGGGCATGGGTGGGCATGGGGGCGTGACTCGTGAAAGGAAAGCAGGACACGTGGAAAACGTGCATGATGGATGATGGAGAGTGGATGACCCACTCACCCACTCCCCCATCATCCACCCCATCCATCATCCACCCATCCATCATCCACCCCATCCATCATCCACCCCATCCATCATCCACCCCATCCATCATCCACCCCATCCATCATCCACCCCATCCATCATCCACCCCATCCATCATCCACCCCATCCATCATCCACCCATCCATCACCCACCCCATCCATCATCCACCCCATCCATCATCCACCCCATCCATCATCCACCCATCCATCATCCACCCCATCCATCATCCACCCATCCATCATCCACCCCATCCATCATCCACCCATCCATCATCCACCCATCCACCATCCACCCATCCATCATCCACCCATCCATCATCCACCCATCCATCATCCACCCATCCATCATCCACCCATCCATCATCCACCCATCCATCATCCACCCATCCATCACCCACCCATCCATCACCCACCCATACATCACCCACCCATCCACCACCCACGCATCCATCATCCACCCATCCACCACCCACCCATCCATCACATCCCAATACTGATTACCAGCGAAGCCTCCCACCTGCTTCAGCTGCGCTCGGCGCTTCGACAGCGCCACGATCTGCTCGTTGAGAAGCTTCCACGCAGCTGCCTCGTGGCAGACCTTGAGAATGGCCACCGCCACCGTGCGCGTCCCCACCACGTCAGCAGCCTGGGAATGGGTTTGGTTTGAAACGTTTCAGAACAACTTGATCATCAAGCAACCTGGGAATGGGTTGGTCGGTGGGTTGATCATTTGGACGGACACGATTTCGTGGAGCAGTGGGCAGATTCAGGTGCGCGGAATCAGGTAAACAGATGAGCAGATTCAGGTGAGCAAATTCAGGCGGCCAGGAGATTCAATGATGCAACGATTAGTGACTGGGGCATAATGGGGAGGGCAAATGACCAACAAAACAGATACGACCTGGAGCCAGCGTGAGGCGAGAGGGGAGAGAGGAGAGAGAAAAGAGAGAAAAAGGAAGAAATGGAGAGATTCACTTCGTACCAGGCGCATCTGCTTCTCCAAGCCCAGCAACGCGTCAAGAGCTTCAGTCAGCCTCCCCTCCTGCACGCACGCAGCAGGGATTGCATCCGCGCACAGCAGGACACCGAAGCACAATAGGGAATTGCCAAGAGAGTGATTAAATCCAGGAATTTGACATCTGACTTTTGAGTCGACTCAAGAGTCAAAAGTGAACGTCACTGGAGGTTCAGTCAGTCTCCCCTCCTGCAAGCACAAGAAATTGCGGATCCGGGCATAAAAGCGGGATCGGATTCAAGTACAGCAGGTTAGACCGAACATGAACGATGGAGGGTCTAAACCTGAATCAGCACAGCTGGCGTGACCTATTATAGGACGCGAAAGAATCGTCCCCGACTGAACGGGGTGGGACGCACCAAAAAGCGGCTGTCTATTCTGAAGTCTCTAGAACGATTCACTTTTGCGTCTCACTGGTGCACGATCCGACGGACGAATAGCAGTGACCGTAACTGCACCGCACGGCGCGTTCGCGTCTCATAGGCTGTAATCTTCTGCATGAAACCTATATCGATTCCGAATCCGTTCCTCATCCATAGCCCTTGAGATTCGCACCGATTGCTCATAGATTCCCCATGAACTCCTCATAAAATCTTCTGAATGAATTCCCAATGGATTCACTACAAGAAACAGAGCTTCCACAGCATCTCTTGACGGCCGTCGTTGGCGACTTGCACATGCGAATCGCGTCACGCCCCGTGCACGGCGCTTGCACGTCCCATAAGCGACCTTTGAAATTCACTCAAAGAGCTATAAGGCTGTCGTCCCTTGTGCAGGTCGACGGCGCGCCCGTAATCCACGACGCTTAGCTCGTCCACACGGCTGTACCACCCACGATCTGCGACGCTGGTCACTGATGCTGCTGATGCTGATGCTGGCAACGACACAGCTACGTCTGCGACACTCTCAGACTCCGGTAGGCTCGTCAGCAGGGCTGCACCTTAGGCCTGCACGACACGGAGGCTGGAAACACGCCGAGGCAAGTAACCGGGTAACCCGACTACCTTGAGAGCCACATCTCGCTGGTGGTCCACGTCCCTCTCGAGCTTGTCGTAGTCGATCGCCTTGTTCTTCCCCTCGGGCGCCGCGATCGACCGATCGTCCTCCTCCATGCCTGCCTGCCAGACCTACGACCTCTTTAAAGCGTTACCACTATGGAAAGGGAAACCCCTCTTGGAAAATTCCTGAAACGCGTAAGATTAGTGGGATCGCAGCCCGATCTTGGAAGATGTTAACTGCTGGTGCTGCGAGACTTGCTGGTTCTCGGCAAGAAAAAATATACAAGCAGGTTCAGCAGCAGCACAGGTAGCAGGGGGGCACACTAGATTTGGATGGAAACTGTGTTTGTGGAGGATGGAGCTGGGAAGAGGAAAGTCCGACAGTGAATGACTCAATATATTAGGAAGGGGAGAGTACAGCATGGTTACTAAAACAAGTTACCCGAATTATAACTGTAACAAAGTCAGCTGAAGTACCACCTTACCATACTGCATTGTAGCTAGAAGCTTTCCTAGTTATCGGCGTTTACATACACCACAATACATCCAATTCTATAAACAACAACGTGAGAAACAATTGCACACTCATTACACCAGCTACTTACTGACCCATTACACCAGCTAAAATGCACCCTAAAACCCCACCCTACATGCAAGCATTACAATGTATGCACCATCCACTTTGCCCACTTAATTCCCATACCCCACTCCCATCCCGTGCCATACCTTGTTAGACCATGAATAAATAATACCCAACAAATCAAGTCCTTACTCTCGCGATAACAAGCCGTCTACTCTATCCTGAATGAAAATCAACAAACCAATTGACCTCCTCTTACAACAGTCCCGCTCGAGCTTCACTCGGTTGCCCCAAATGGCTTATAACCTCAAGCACCAGTGGTCTGTAATCGGCTTACGCCAATGCAAATGAAGCTGCTTCCCCTGTGCAGGTTCTTGCCAACGATGGTCGACCAATTGCCTTTCGGTTTCCCCTTCAGCGCAAGCGCCACTTCTGTAGTTTTAAACATCGCAAATCCAGATACTTTTTTTCTCCGGAAAAGCTTGCCGTTGTTGAGTAGAAGCGGGATTGACGACCCAAGCGGTAGCTTTTTTATCTTGGAAAAGGGATACATGCCCTTGACGACGTTGTAGGAAATGCTTTTCAGAAGATTGATTGCATCTTCCGGGGTTTTAGGCTCGTTGAGGAGGCCACTCTGCTTGAGCGCAAAGTCGGTGGGGATTAAGACCGTGTTGTAAAAGAAGGGGGACCAGTCTATGTCACCGGGAACCGTCGCTGCAAAGGATAGAAATGAGAAGGGTTGGGGAGTGGCATCATGGAAAAGGCAGGAGTGAAGATGATGCAACAAAATTGGTCTCTTTTAGCATGTCCTGAAGACCCAGCAAAACGCAAACACATAAATCCACCGAAAGTCAGACACGCCAGCGCTAGGGCCTACCTCCTTGCTCGATAATTTGACCGACTGCTTGATTCATGATTATGAATTGGAATCGCTTCGATAGCTTGTTCTTTAACTCCTTTAGCTCCTTAATTATCTGCTGCGTTGTCGGCGGCGCCACGGCTGAAGTGACCAGGGCCAGCGTAAGGACTACAGCTAGAAACGCTCGGGTTGACATGGCCTCTAGTAGTGCGTTCAAGAAAACACTATCGTTGCTGCATGAATTTAATCAATTGTAAACGAAATGTCTCAAGACTCAGGGCTAGCGCGTATTTGTGACATGCAGGGAGGAGAATTGCCCGACAGGACCAGCAAGGGGCAGAAACAGGGGGCTTCGAGTCTGTCTGTTCGCGACCATATGTATTGACGGGGTTCGTCTGCCACAGACGCGCGAATTTTGTGAGGGAAATATTGCGGCAGGGAAGGCCAGATCAGCAAGCAAGAAGGGGCTGGGGCTTTGTGGTGGGTTGGATGGAGGCGAGAAAAGCGTGGTGGGAGGAGCAAAAATCTACAATGCTTGGCGGGAGAGCCCTGGCTGCAAATTTGCAGACTCCACATGATTATGATTCGGTTCAGAAAGGTTTCACTATTTCATAACACAGCACAGTTGCACACCACTCGCATCGCTCGCAACGCAACGCGAGCCGTAGGAGACAAGTCTTGCTGACGTGTCGGCTTGGTTCGAGTCTTCGAGAACCAGGGGTTGGGCTGTGGGCGGCTACAAGAGGAGTTAGGGGAGGGGACAGCAGGGCGGAGAAGACAGGGGTGGGGTGGGGTGGGGATGGGCGATCGGTCGGGGGGAATCGGGATGTCAGGGCAGGGAAGGCAGGAGAGAGGCCGAGGGGAAGGCTCCCCCAATTCCAGCCCCTTCCAGCGCTGTGCCATGCCAACTCCCTCCCTCTTGTCGCATGTGCAATGTAACTGTCGAACAAAGATTCGCAGCGTGGTAGTGGGTGAAGTGGGTGTGTCTCGGTTGTGGGACCGTGTACTGCACTGACACAGCACATTTCCTACGATACAAGCATCTACACATTCACTCTTATACCTTTTTAACATGATGGCAATGCAGATACGAAGACTCAAAACATGCCTCTGTTGATGTATGATAGCCAGGAACATGCTTCCGTTACCACCCAAAACAGAGCCTGGTAACACAAGCAGGGCACAGCTGCTTCAATATGCCACCATAATACGTTCATACAATATGATAAACGGATGATGAACAAGAGTTCACACATCTCGAGACAGTCACAGTAAAGAGGGACTCAAATCACCTTCTATGCACAAAGCTTCCTGTGGGTTGACGGAACCCTCACTCTCTTACTCCAGAGATCTGCTTCCTGAGGACCATTCAAGCACCTACAGCACCAGTAGTCTGTAGGCGATTAACCCCATGCGCAATGAAGCTGCTCCCTTTGTGCAGATCTTTGTCAAGAATCTTCGACCACTCGGTTTTTTTTTTTCTCTTGAGCGCGAACGCCACGGCAGTGCCTTGATTTATGCCCCACCCAGGATTCACTTTCTGCCGAAACAACTTTCCGTTGTTCAGCAAAAGCGTAACGGTCTTTCCAACAGCAAGAGCCTTCAACTGGGAGAATGGTTTCATGCCCTTAATGATGTTGTAGGAGACGCTTTTAAAGAGGCTGAGTGCTTCTTCAGGGGTTGTCGGCTGGACGAGAAGGCCGCTTGCGATAAGCGCGGCATCGGTGGGGATTAGGAGCGTGTTGTAGGCGAAGGGGGACCAGTCAATGCTGGCGGGAACGGTTTCTGCGTGGGACGGAGTGGAAACGATGAAAAAAGGTGAAGATTAAAAATCGTGGGCGAATCAGTGGTTGCGAGAAGCGTTTCACGGCGGAGAACCCTCCGAGAAAGGAGGGGAGGCAAGTCGAACAAGAGTCGCAGCAGGGAAAGAAAGCAGGGAGATGCAGCAAACGTAATAAAATAGAACTTACGCTTTCTTCGAGGCAGAGGGATAGGCCGAAAATCTTATAAAATATCACGAAATGTTTAGAGGGAGGGAAAAAAAAAAAGGGAAATAGCGTGCAGGCCGCACCTCCTTGGACAATCAGCTGAGAAATTACTTGACTCATGCCAAGGTATCTCAGGAATGGATTTCTAGCCAGCTTGCTCTGTAGATCCTTCAACTCCAAAATTATCTGCGCCGTCGTTGGCGCAGCCGAAGCTGACACCAATATCGACAATGAAAGCAGAAGAGCTAGAATCTTTCGGGCTGACATGGCGAATGACATGTCGACACTGTTCCTAAATCAGTCAGGGGATCTAGCGGAGTAAGCAAAAAATGTAGGGAGGTTTCCTTAATACAGATATGACAGTCATGTAAGCTAACGAGTTTGGTCTGGCTCCGTGTGGTATCTCTTCCAGGTCTGGTGTGGGTCATAGGAATGACGACTACTACGACAGCTGCTTGTGCATTCGAAAACAATGGCGGCTGGGAGAGGCGATTGAGGGTGCATTCCTGGTTGGTGGCAGGGCAACTGTTCACATCGAGTTGGTGGCAAGTGTACCCAAAAATTCAGTGGGCCGGAAAATGCGCTTGCCACCAACAGTTGCCCTGCCACCAACTCAGGAATGCACCCTGAGTGGAGTGGGGCTTTGAATCCCTGACGGGGAAGGCGGGGAGGGGCCATCTGCGTTGTCCTTGTCCCGTGTGGATCCAACCAAGCAGACAGGTTGTGTCTGCCTATGTGTCGCCGACACATACAGTAGTTGACGGGAGAGCTGACGATAGATCGTCGAGCAGAATTGACGGTCCGGCTAGTTGCCTCAGGTGTACCTATCTGAAACCGTGCAATCTCCTCCACCTCAGGTGTACTGTGTATTGTTAACGTTTCTGAACGGTTGGCCGTCTTTCATTCAAACACGCCAAGATGACGCAGATTATGACGCGCGCGCGCCTGGAGTCGCACAGGTGCTGCCTCGAGCCCTCCACTCCACCCTTTTCCTTCAACTGTACTTGGTCGGTGGATCGAGCGTGTGCTATAAAAAGAATATGGTTCTGTACGGTACGGAGGCTTTTCACAGAGTCCACTGTTCTAACGCTGTGCGTTTCGAGGCACAAAGGACCCACCTGACGTTGAAAAATGCAAGAAAAACATCAACCGGGTATTCTCGTTAGAAGTAGAACAGCTAGAGATTTCTGAGAGCCTATGCCTAGGAACAGAACACTAAAAGCAGTTCAACATTACCATGTACTCCGTTATGCAATTAAAACAGTCAGTTCGGTTTCGGAAGTAGATGAACAAATCTAAATACCACCAAAAAAACTTTCAATTGAGCTTTCAATTGATCTCTACACAACATGCAGGAACACGCGCATGCTCAATTTCTTCGACGACTGGATTCCCCTGGCACAAGTGATGAGCGCCTCTCTCTTGCACTCTCGCCCCTCCCTGCTGCAATGCTACCGGCTCTTGTGCCTGCCGCCTGCTGCCCACGCCTTCCCCACACCATGTACATTTCAACTTGCCAGTGCTTCCCCCCATCCCCTTCCCTTGCTTTCCCTTCGTCCCCTCCCCTGCTTCCCCGCATCCCCTGGCCTGGTTACCCCCATCACCTCACTCACTCATTCCTTCCTACCCTCACTCATTGGTTGCCACCCTAACGGATTTCTTCCCACCCTCTCTCATTCCTTCCCATCCTTTCTCATGCAACTCACCTCTTCCCCCACCATCCTCATTGTTACGAATAGTAATGGACGAAGATATCACTGTGCACTCCTAACCGCAGCTAAGGAAGCACGCAGTATCGAGAATGAATGTGAAATGTCAGAATTGACTCGAAGCGTCAGATAGTTAGGGTGGATCGGGACCGTCGGAGCAGATGGCATCGGGCAGCTGCAAGCAAGAGGAATTAGGCGGGAACAGTTTCGAAACTGTACGCACCGCACGGTTGGGAATGAATTTGAATAAGTGAATGTACCCCTTAGAGTACATGGCTAGCTAGGTCGACTCGAATTCCCTTGTACTCATATTTATATCTTTGTATCTGCATGTTTTTATTATCTCAAGCATTTTACATTCACTCTGCTCTTGAGGTCAAGGGCCCACCAACACTACCTCGCTGTGTGCGAACCTTCCCGAGGAGATCCTAGTGTTGAGATAGGCTAAGAATGAGTAGGCTTAGGAGCCATAGGTTTAGTAGATTAGTGATCGAGTTCGAGGGTAAGGACAAGTGTCGAGAAAGTTGAGAGAGGAGTGATGTTCACTATAGCACAAGAGTACATATAGCAAACAGAGCATGGAAGGTGCACCACCAACTAGAAAGTTATATGACTACATTATTCTACACTACAGGCAGTTATAGAACAACATATAGAATTATATATTAGTCTGACACGCCCCCATAAGTGCCTGTAGGGAAGAATGTGCAGTCAACGCCCCCTGAAGGGGTACACCAAGCGCAGGAGAAGGAGAGGGGAAGTGAGGAGGAGGAGGGACTGTGATAGGAGAGGAGATGGGAGGCGACGGCTGAAGCTGCCGACACACGGGCAACAGGAGTCACACTGGCACAGCGGCTACCGGAACAGCGCCCCGCACTACTGGAGTAACTGGCTCCGCGGCTAAGACGAGCGGCAGGAGCAACGGACCCACGGGCGACTGGCGCAGCTGGCTACGACTGGGCTACCGGAGCAGCGCCCCGGACTATTGGTGCTGCTGACGACACGGCGGCCACCTCCACTCAACCTCCCCCACTTGTCCCATACTCATCACCCCCACACCCGCCACCCCCATACCCATCACCCCCACACCCGCCACCCCCATACCCACCCCCCCACGGCTGCACCAGGTCCAGGAGCGGCTGCTGCAGTGGCGGCTGCTCCAGGGGCGGCTGCTCCAGGGGCGGCTGCTCCAGGGGCCAGGGGCGGTTCCTGCAGCGGCGGCTGCTCCAGTGGCCAGGGGCGGCTGCTGCAGGGGCAGCTGCTCCAGGGGCCAGGGGCGGCTGCAGGTGCGGCTGCTCCAGGGGCCAGGGGCGGGTGCTGCATTGGCGGCTGCTCCAGAGGCCAGGGGCGGCTGCTGCAGGGGAGGCTGCTCCAGGGGCGGCTGCTGCAGGGGCGGCTGCTCCAGGGGCGACTGCTGCAGTGGCAGCTGCTCCAGAGGCCAGGGGCGGCTGCTGCAGGGGCGGCTGCTCCAGGGGCGGCTGCTGCAATGGCGGGAAGAAAAAGGTGTCGTGACCCTTCTTTCGAGTCCACTACTGCGTCGCCCCGAGCGCGTGGCGGGAAGAAAAAGGTGTCGTGCGCCACGGGGCGCGCGACATACAGGAAAGCAGCGGAAGCACGTGGGGCCCACAGGCCAAGAGCGTAGTCGCTCTGATTCCATGTTGAGATTGGCTAAGAATGAGTAGGCTTAGGAGCCATAGGTTTAGTAGCTTAGTGATCGAGTTCGAGGGTGAGGAGAAGTGTCGAGAAAGTTGAGAGGGGAGTGATGTTCACTATAGCACAAGAGTACATATAGCAAACAGAGCATGCAAGGTGCACCACCAACTAGAAAGTTATATGACTACAGTATTCTACACTACAGGCAGTTATAGAAAAATATATAGAATTATATATTAGTCTGACACATAGGATTGATCACCTTCTGATCGCAACATGGTATGAGGGCGACTCGGAGATCCTTCGCACAGTCATCCCCGAAATCAGCGACATTCAGAAAGTGGCGTCCGACACACGATCGCGTGTGAGAATGGCCGGAGGATCTGGTGGTCAGACAAATCTGACGGCTCAAGCGCAACCCAACCCGGCTGCGACAAGCGAGGAAACGACGACGATCGGGACCGAAGTCATCGCACAATTACTTCAGCGACTCACTAGCGTGGAGCAAGGACTCTAGATATTGCGGAACGGCGATCCGGGAACCTCCTCGCAACCTACTCAACCGACCCCAAACGGCCAGAATGCCGCCTCGCACACTTTCTCCCTAGACAAAAATGGCTCAGCCCCCAAGACTCCCCGCCCCAGTGAAGAAGCAATTCTCTCTGCGCAATCAAGGTTTCTCAGCATACTGTGTAAATAATAAACACAAGTGTGTGTTTTGATAGTAGGGACTTCTATACCTAGAGCTTCGAGCTGGAGCTCTTGCTGCAGAATGCTCAAATTTTTCATTACTTCGACGGGAGTTACTCGGAGCTTGCTGAAGATACCAACGACGCCAAGGCGAGGTACTACAACAAGTCTCTGATGGCGTACGGCGACGCAGTTGAACATTCGTTTGTACAAAACCTCGCCTGCTCCAGCCCTGGACGCTTGGTGTCAGAACTTATATTTGTAACTGCCTGTAGCTGTAGTTAGTGTAGTTATTATAAACTTTGTTTGGTGGTGCACCTTATTTGTTTCCTTTGCTATATGTTCTTCAAAACCTATAGTGAAACCATCCTTTCCAACTTTCTCGACTCTCACCCTAGGCACAAACTACTCGACATCCTAGTTGGGCCTAGGCTCCTAAGCCTAGGCCCTTGTTAAACTTGATCATTCTCGTTTCAGTTTCGATATGCTATCAGAGCGAGTTACGTCCTGGCCTGTGGGCCCGCCTCATGCTTCCGCTGCTACGTTTTTCCGGTCGCGAGCCTAGGGCGCGTGGCGATTTTCTATTGTCCCGCCCCCGGTTGGCGAGTGACTCCTACTCTGCCCGTCGCGCGCCCCGTGGCACGCGACGGTGCCCTAAACCTGCCCGTCGTGCGCCCCGTGGCACGCGACGGTGCCCTGCTCGTCGTGCGCCCCGAGGCACACGACGGTGCCCTTACCTTAAACTTACCCGTCGTGCGCCCCGTGGCACGCGACGGGCCTCTCCGCACCTGCTCTCAATGCAGCCGCCCCTGACCTACCTGCGCCGACACATTGTAGCCGCTCTGCGGCTTTCTTCACGCCCACCCCCTCCTCCTTTGTCTCCCTGCAGCCGTGGGGGGGAGGGTATGGGGGTGGCGGGTGTTGGAGCGTTGGGTCGTATCCTTCCCTTCCCCTCCTCCTCCTTTCGTTCCCACTGCTGCAGCTGCCGCTGGGGGGGAGGGTGTGAGGGTGTGGGGGAGACGGGGGAGTGGCACCGGGGTGGCGGGTGTGAGGCAACCAGCAGCCGTC